TGCCATTTCTTGGGAAAAGCGAGCCGCCTTCCTCATCCCTCCTCCACCGGCCGCCCCCGAGCCTCCGCCGCCTTCCCGATTGCCTCCTTCCCAAAGCCGCTTGGCCACCGGCGTGCAAACCACCGAATACGGCGAGGCCTCCGGCTGCTCTGTCTTCACCCGAGAGACGAGGGGCAACGGGGTCAAGCAGGAAGCGGGTCGACTGGATGCCGTAGCTACCACCCCGCCTCCGCCGTTAGCCACAGCACCCGCCGCTGTCTGGGTAACAGGGCTCTGAGGCTCCGACGGAGGGGTTTCTTCAGTATGGAGGCCCTGTGAGTCGCAGCTGGGCGAGCTGACCTTCAAGAAGAACTCCGTGCCCTTTTCCATAATCTGCTGGATCTGGAGGAAGCCGGCTGTGTACATGAGCAGAAACTGGTCTCCGACGTTCATGCTGAGGCGGCCGGTGTAGCAGAAGGCCAGGATCTGCTGAAAGCTCTGCGGCTGTACGGCCGGGGGCAACTCCACCACCGTAGGGGTTTTGCTGCCCGCACTGCTGTTGAAAAGGTCACGGAAGTAGGAGCTGCTCGCCGCCAGCACGGCGCGGTGAGCTTTAAAGGTGTGGCCTTTCACCACCACGGACATGTCGCAGTACAGCCCCTGCAGCCGCTGCTCGTTCAAACACTCCAGGACATTGTTGCCGAAGTTTGGGATCGCCATCTGAAGGGTCTGAGCCATGGCGCTATGGCCAGCACCACCAGAGAAATCTGAGCGGCACCGGAGGAAGAGAAGGAGGGAAAGACAGATGGAAGAGAAAGAAAGAGATCTTTGTCAGCAGCACTCTTTCAGCAGCACAGTAGTTCATCACTGAAGACTCATTGCAACCATCATTTGCTTTTAAAGCAGTAAAATCCACTGAATGCGACAATTTATTGCAAAGACACACACGGCTACCGGCAAAAGACTGTTACATTAAAAGGTGAAATGTTTAAGACCCCAGGGACGAGCCTGTGAGCACCTTTCGCAGAGCGGCCTAGAACATGCGAACTCTGAAAAATAATAGGGGGGTTGGCGAGCCGCCTCTAAAATCCTGCGAGCGGGATGTGACTGCTAATCTGAATGAGATGGTGATTCAGCTGAGACAGAGATAAAATGGCACTCTTTACAGTACTACAGCAGGGAGGGAGAGAGGGGAGAGCGCCAGAGAGATACTAAACCAGTGATTGAGGTCATAGTTGAGGAAGAGGGTGGAAAACAAAGGGCTTTGACTGACACTGCAGTCAGTCTTATTACTGCTAAATGTGACACCATGAGCAAAGCCATCATTACAGCTCACAGCCATTCTGCCGGGGAAATTCATTAGAAACGGTTAACCTGAGCTTTCTACTATAAAATGGGCTGTCCAAAACTACTACTACAGAGTTTAAAACTGTGGTGCTTACAATTCCCTCCTTTTTAGGCAACAGATACGTTCATATTAGTCGGGGGAGGATTTTTGGCGAATCAGCAGAATGAGTGGCAGAACTTTTAGTGAAGGCACAGATTGACATTTTACCGTCAGCGCAAAAATCGTGGCTTATTGTTTAGCAATCATTTGGTGAAGTAAAAACAGCCCTCAAATCATGTCAGCTAAACCAACACGACAGTATAACACTGTGTGATGTGATATACTTCACACATTAAGATTAGACCGCGGTAGGCAGAACATCTGGGCACATGTTTCCCACACAAGCCATCACATTAAAAATCACTGAATCTGATCTGATCACACAGAACTAACAGGACGTTTGTGGTAAAAGAAGTACCCTCTTTGTCTAACTTCAGGCTCGCTCGCTCCCCCTCCCTAGCATGCACACACACAAGCCATAGACATCAGACAAAACGGCGTGTTTACAGTTGGCCAGAGAGCAGAGGCACACATACAC